CCTAAACCCTAAACCCTAAGCTTGTTCAAGGCGGGAAGCCGGCTCGTCGTCTGCTGTTCCTGGGAGGTGGCGAGACTGCTCTTCGGAAGGGCCTGAGGTCTCTGTCATGTTGGGGCCTAAATAATTACGGGTTGAGGGTTTAGGGGTTTAGGGTTTAGGGTTTAGGGTTTAGGGTTTAGGGTTTAGGGTTAGGGGAGCCTACATAATTACCCATACTATTTTGGGGATGCCTTGTTATAATTATCGTAGAATGTACCCCAAAAACCCCTATTCGAAGTATGAAGGCCCCTACATTAAAGGGTTCCTTCAAGGCCCAGGGGATTCTACGGATTGCATGAAGATGTCTTGTTTTCGGGAATCCTTTGAGGGTTCAGGGGTGGGTAGTTACCGTTATAGGAGCCTGATAGAAGGTCTATATACCTTACTGTTGATGGACAAAATCCTGCATTACCCGTTATAAGGAATATACCATAATTCCCATAGTTTAAGGTCCTTAAGGTCATGCAGGATTTTGTCCATCAACAGTAGGAGCCTGACAGAAGGTCTACATACCTTATGGAAGCCTCATAGAAGCGTTATATACCCTAAACTCCCCACCTGTAGTTTCCCTTAACTCATACCAAAAAGAACCAGAGAGACTCAGGACCCATTGGGCAAGGGATACCTACTTGCCTTGACAGCAGAAGCTTGCTGCTCATTTGCTGAGTCTTTCGTCCCCAAACTCTATAGAAGCCCTATTCCTTAATTGAGCATTCGGCTACTCGTGGGGGTGCCAGAGTAGGAGCAGCCTCGGTCTTAAACAGGGAACGTTTTAACAAGTTCGTCTTGTATGTAAGTGTATAGGCAAGGTCACCCTACTTGCAACGTTTACTATAGGGTTTAGGGGGGCTGACGGGTTAGGGAGCCCCAAGTAGGGGACTTTTTTTGCCTTAAGCACTAAGTTTCCCGATCCGCGAAGTAGCCTAAGTTTGCCAGTACACCTTAAGCCTTAAAGCCTCAGTCCCGAAACACTGAAGCCCTAAAGACCCTTAAGCCCCTGAAGACCCCAAAGCCCCACACCCTTATCATAAATCCTGAAACTCCTAGACTCCTGATAGAAACCCTTAAAGGAACCCCTTAAGCCCTAATTTCGCGATCTGTCACGATCCCTCCTAAACCCTAAACCCTAAACCCTAAACCCCTAAACCCTAAACCCCTAAACCCCTAAACCCCTAAACCCTAAACCCTAAACCTTACCCAGGCAATCAGCTCTGTCTTGGCGCTGCGACCTTTCAAGGTGACGAAGCCCGGCGCGCCGGCTCAGGGTGCGGGATTGGGTGTTCCCAGAGAACCCAATGCCCCTTAATTAAGGAATATACCTTAAATCATAATATTAAGGCCCCTATAATTTAAGGTATATTTCTTAATTAAGGGATATTGGGTTCTCTGGGTTTCAGGGCACCATAGGTCCGAAACAGTTTCAACCCTTCAGTTTAGGGTTTAGGGTTTAGGGTTTAGGGTTTAGGGATCAAATGCACACACTGAGGCAGACTAACTATCCTTTCGCGGAGGTTTCCGTTATCATTGCAGGAAAGTCTGTTCTCATGGGATATACTACGATATTCCTAAGGGTTCCTTATTATATGTATACTGTAAAGGAACCCAAAACCCTACTCTTATTCTTAAGGCTCCTACACTAAACCCAGAACCTGAAACCCTTAACCCTAAACCCTAAACCCTAAACCCTGAACCCTAAACCCTTAACCCTAAACCTTAAACCCAGAACCCTCAGCCTCGGGTCCTGAACGCCCTAACACTCAATGTCCTCCATAAAAGCCATTACGAGCCCTCGCGAAGCCGAAACCCGAAACGTCGTCTAGGCCTATCGCAGCCTCTGTTGCAAACTGGGAAGAAAAACGCATTCCAGACCTTCGAAACGATCCAGAACCTAAGCCGCAATCCAAGCCGCGCTCACCCCTTTTACGATGATGACTGGAACTAGCATTATCTCTGCCATGACTGCCAATGATACTACTATCGCTATTGTTACCCGCCAAGGCAGCTTGGCGAGTGCTGCGCATGGGGTCGTCGAAGGCGTTTTCTTCTCTGAGGGGGACCGCTGGAAGCGCGAGCGACGCAGCTTGGGACCGGGTATGAAAGCTTTGGGTTTTTCTTTCACACACACACACACACATATATATATATATATATATATATACACGTGTATTTAAATATATGCATATCTCTCTCCATATCTATATATATATGTATACATCTCTATCAACGTATTACATATATATATATATACACATATATATGCACATACATATACATAT